AATATATTATTTTATATTATATCATTACCTACTACTGTATCTGAAAACAGCATTTATTGATATTTAAGGACAAATGCTTAGAATAAAGATTGCAAAATTGATCACTTGTTACCTAATTTAAATTTTAGAAAAGTAAATTAACAACTTATATATTTGACCTGATGACTAACAATATAACCAAAGTCAGCGGAAATCAACGCTTCCAAACAGATGAATTAGCCTACGTGCCTATGTCGAATTCTTTAATATTTGAACAATATTTTGGGGGGCAAAAAACGAACATTTTGCAAGAGACTTGAGTGCCTCATTGTTTACACATTTTTTGCCGTTAACAATAACTAAAAAGTATATATACGAAAATCTAAAACGTATTTGCAACAACAAAAAATGTACCGAAAAAGACAATTTATTGTTATTAGTATTACTAAGTAATATTTCGAGAATAATTTCGGTTTTTGTTTTGTTTCAGCTCGTTTGTTTATTTTTCTTGGTGCGCTTAAATGCAAACAAAACATGAATTTTTATTTACCATTTAACCAGCGCAGATCAGCAGATATATTTGTGTACATAATAGAATATACACACATCGGCGCACATATGTGCTTTTATGGGAATTAAATTGTAAATTTGAAAAAGCATATGGTAAGTGGCGATGAAAGTCGGTGGCATTACCAAAATTTAATGACGAGTTTATTGGAATTTCTAATTAGATTTTTACAGTAAATTGATGAAATATTTTTTTGAATATTTCGAAATATATTTGTTCGTACCATGAAATCAATTTTAAATTTAATAGGTATATGTATTTGCAAGCCAATGAGTTTTCACATTTAAGAGGTATCCAGAAGTCGCTTCAACAAATCCATCGTTCTCATAGATTTATTTTGCGTATCTTTGGCGCCAGTTATCTGACCACATAAACCAACAACAACGTCATCAGCAACAATAATAATAACAACATCAACAACAACAGCAACAAAAACAACAACAACAACGACAGCAGCAAGGCACTATTAAAAACATAATTTATCAACAATTTACATGCCAAGTCCAAGGCGTTTGTTAAGTGTTATTAAAAAATTACAAGCCTCGACAACAAAAAAAAAAGTACGGCAGTGTGAGTTCGTATGAGATGGTATCATTTTGCAGTCTCATGAATATGCAAAAGAAATACCGACGCCAAGGAAATTGCAACGATAGTTTTTCCAATCGCAAACAACTACTAGTTTGAAGGATCCACAGGTTTCAATTGCCGGCAATTATATAGTGGCACTGCAATACCCCAAGAAATCCACAATTACGGATCTCTCATCTCAAGACCCGGCAATTATCGATGGGCAATTTATGTCCGAATGCGAACAACAATCACATATCGAACAACGTCTCAATCGGATTGGTAAACTTTTCTTTCAAGAGCCAGAATAAATAAACAATAACGGCTGCATGGAAAATTTTGTAGCGGATAAAAGTTACAGAGAAGTTTATGCTTATCTTCAACGAAAAAGTTTTCGATACTGAGAAATTTTTTATGCAAGAAATATTAATCATTCGCTACGTGTGCGTAGCATTAATTATAACAGTAGTGATAAAATTACAGTGAAAATAGAAATAAAATTTTCAAGCTAAAACATTTTAACTTTTTGTACAAAGGTTGTTAAAATTAAACAACATTTAATTAAAGTCAAATGGTTAATGTTTAATAGTTTACTTGATTTCAATTGTATAGTATATATTGTTTAAAATATTTATATTTTCAAAGAAACAGGTGTTATGACTCTTGAATATTTTCAACCGGAGTAAGGCCCAACAAAGCTGTCCAAATCTGGAATATCTTATCTGCGATCACATTCCTAGCAGCCACTTGACGAGCGATCGCTTCTTATGGAGACGCTCGGCTTTTGGGGAGGCGAGATTTTGGATTTGAGAACTGAGATTCGAGATTTGGGGTATCTGAAGCATTTGGCACGTGGGTGACCGGCAAATGCGGAAGCGTCACTTGACGATGGCCAAATATGCGCCCGTAAAAAGATCTGAATCTGAATCTGAATCCGAGTCTGGGATCTGTATCTGTATCTGTATCTCGCGGTGAGCATCTGCAGTGCCTCATAATCATTCAAGTGGGTGTCTTCAACATGAATGAAATGGAATTGGAAGTGGAATTGGAATTGGAAGAGCAGCAGTGCGGCCACAAAAAATACAAAAAAAAAAACACAAAATCTCGTTCAGTCACTTTGCGAAAAGCACAAAACAGAACAGCACCGATACAGATGCAGATACGAATGTGGATGTATCTTCGCATCTGTATCTTTATCTGTATCCGTGTCTCTTTCTGTATCTGTATCTGTGTGCCTGCAGAGCAATCGAATCAAGAGACAAACTGGGTAATTGGTTCATTATATAGTAGAAGCCAACGACATCCGCTCGTTAATGTAAATTACACAATAGTTTCGAATCATTTTTTTTTTGTCTGCGCTTAATTTTTCATTCCATTTTTCTCTAGCTCTTTGTTTGCAAAGGAAAACCTATGGGTATGGATTTGTTTGTGCAATCGATAAATATTACATATTTAATATTCAAAATATCCGAAAATATCATACAAGTACTGATGCATATGGAAATCGCTTGTGGCAACCTCAAATATATAAAACGACATTAAATAAACAACTAACAAAATATTCGATATGAGTTTAAGGCATTTGGACATTAGACATAAACAACAGTGATCTTGAATTAAACTTAAGAAGGTGGAATCGCACTACAGTAGACATAAACAAATTCCTCCAGAAGTTTTTAATTTCGGCGAGACATGTAGACAGAACTACCAATAAACAATATTTATCGATTTGATTTCTCAAATTCAACATAAAAAGGTGGAAATGATCCTCTTTAGGGGGATTACAATTTCCACCGAGACAAGAAAATTCTGTCTTCGAGTAAACAATCGTTATCGATTTGAACAAAGGCTTCTCAAATTCAACTTAAGAAAGGGGAATTGAACATGGTAGACATAAACAAATTCTTCAAAAGGGTGTTAATTACTCTGGGACAAAAAGGAGAAACAACCCACAAACAAAACTTTAGTATTATCTTAAAAAATAATAATCAATTCTATATCAACAAAATATAACCCCAAACCTCCAAAACTTCTCGAATTTTGATAGACATAAACTAAAAAATTTCCCTAGTAACTAAAATCTTTAGATTCCAGAAATCCTTTATAAAGAAGATTTACAATAATCCGCGAACAAACGAAACGCGAATAAGTTCCAAATTTATTTGCCCACTGATCTTAAATTTTCCTGGGGGCTAAAACCATAATTTCCCCTCCATAATCCCGCCCGATGTAAACACAGAGTGGAAACTTTCCATTAGCCTGGGGGTTCAGAGATAACGCGAATTAATGCGCAGAGATCGCAGAAAATCTAATGGAAATGTAGCGGGAATTTTTCATTTTTTCGGGATGATGAGGCTCCACTGTAGTCTAAATTTATTAAACAATTATTGGACATTTTTGTCTTGTCTGTGTTTTATTTATTATTATTTCTCCAAAGAGCGCCAATGCGATCGCCAAAGAGCGCCAACGAAAGAGACGAGGCGAGAGAGGCGGCTACAAAGAGCGGAGGAGGAGAGCGGGCTGATAAAGCAGAAGGAGCAACAACAATAGCAAACAAATACAATGCGAATTATCAGGGACTGCGTGATATGATTATCAAAAGGTTTCCCATGTTGTTGTTGCTGCAGCGGCTGCTGGCAACGGCATTTCTCAACATATATACATCTACATACATATATATCAAGAAATATATGTATATATTTTTACTTATATATATATTTGTCCCATACACGCACATTCCTATACATGTGAATTTGGAACAGTTTATTCATCCAATCCATATATAATTGAGACGTTTCCAACGTGATTTGATAGCGCCCAAAAAAGAAAACAAACAACAAATATTTAAACAAATATGTAAATGCCTAACGATTGAAAATATTAACTGAAATTTATGCTAAGTAAATGTTAAACGTTTTAGAAATTTATATGATATGGATTTTGCTTGGGCAAGAAACACAAATATTTTCGGTTGAAAGAAATCTTATTGGAAACCGTAGCTTTTAAACTATAATTTTTATAAGTAACTGCTTCAGATTGCTATTAATTATAAACTAAAATACGTGTGGGCATTCAATAATTATGAAGATGATAAATTGAACGTCAAGTAAATATTAAAAGATTCAGAATGTTAAGGAATAAACCTTTACGTATGCAATTAAACATACATTAGTGGCTAGTTTCTTATCTAGTTTTAAGCTTCCTAAAACGTGCAAAGTCTTTTAAAACAAAGATGTTCGCACTTTTGAACCCAGTATTTCTAACAAGAGTCCTCTTATCACTTTCTTACAATTTGTTTTTAATTCTTAACACTTACTCACCCTCCTCTCCATTTTTCTATTTTTCCAACTCTATATGTACATTTCTTTGCTCCCCGCAGCATCGTTATAATAATGGAATAATCGAGCACCTCTAATGCAACCCAATCACTAACGTAGAAAGTGTCTTTTTAAGGGGGGCTTAGATAAACAGTAGTTTTTGCCTAATTAAAATAAAAGAGATATCTTTAAATAAATGTAAGGTAAATGTATTCTGTTTCATTACCTATTATGCAACTTGCCTGCGACTCCAAAAATAGTTTTTGTATTATATTACTAAATAATATAATCTCTATGGGGTTATTAACCTTTAAAACCGCCGGTCGACGATAAACTCTTTGCTGAAGCGAATTCCTTGCATAAATTAAAGCTCGATCATAGCTGTTTGGTATTTCTAATCTTCTCGGGAGGGGGCTAATAACCCCTGACGCCCCCATGTGAGTGCACCACTGGCTAAACACACACACACACATGCAGAAAGCGAACAACTCCCACAGTTCACTTTCATTGATAAACTCGGCTCTTCGCTCTTCTTCTTCGCCATGCAAATCCAATTGTCTGCTACTTACTTTATTTTTTTGTTGTTGTGTGTGTGACATCAATCAGCATCGCTTTGTTGTTTTTGCTATTGTTGCAGCGGCTGCTGCTGCTGCTGTATTATTTATTTATTTTTGTTGCTCGACAATTGAAGCTAACCACCAGTAAACTGTAACTTCCTCACAAAACACACGCACTGCACTCTCAACAAAAACAACAAAAAACTATTTGAATTCATGAATTATCATAAACAATATAAAATTAAACAATTTAAGAAGGTAAACGCGCGAAAATTCGAATAGACGCGCGCTGAGAAGTATTAAACGAAACAGACTTGTAGAATTGATTAAAACTCAGATTTGGCACCAAAAAAATAACTGTAAAACTGCACAACTTCATTACCCGATTTACCGCAATTACTAGCCCTGTATTATTCAATTAAAATAGTTAACGCCCGGTAGCAGTTCCGCTTTTGTTTTTGTTATCCCCGATGTTCGCTCCGCTTTCAATATCTCTCGATTCCGGTGCGATATTCACGCTGCGAACCGCCGACAGAATTGGAAACGGTCTCGCCGATCATGGTGGAATAAGTATAAGGTAGTCTCCACCGATCCGTCAGTTCACTATTGCGCACTGTAATGAGTGCGAGTGAAAGGGTGTTTTCTCGCAAGTGCGAAAGGAACCGGAATAGAGTGTGTTGTTTAGCCCCTATGCGGTGCGTTGGGTTTAAAATGGGCTTAGTCAATCACCCCACCATCGTCCGCCAGAGGCGCTTTTTTTCATCTGGTAGACAGAAACTTTACATGCGACAACGTTTTTCAAACGATTAAGCCAATGATCGTAAAATAAATGCGAATAAAAGAGTGTTTTATAATAAGTGTGAAAGACACAGCAATAGAGTGTGTTGCCAAACCCTTATGCGGTGCATGTGGGCAGTTTGACATCCTCTTTTTTGTCCGCTAGAGGCGCCTTCTTCAAGTTGGCTTAAAGTATCTTTACATTGGACAACGTTTTCCCCAACGATTCAGTCGATACTCCGAGAGATCTGGACTAAACCTGAGCGATTTGTCAGTGATAGTTCCCATTAAAAAATTCCAGTTCTTCCACAAAAAGAACCGAGGAAATCGTTTTCTCTCACCTAGTAAATAGCTGGTTGGAGCCTCGGATCACAGTGAAGATCATTCGCTCTCTTATGCTTGTTTGTCGCTCTTAGAAGTGCTTTCTTCAATGCTCTTAAGTTGTTAATTAACTTTACTTGCGATCTATAATTAAAGGATAATGCTAGCAACAACTTAAAAAAGTTCTTGTTTAGCTTCACTTGGAAATATTATGGTAACTGACACTTAAAAAAAAACACCACATTAAAATACAGGATCATGGTAAACTATAAAAAAAAGCATGGTAAGCATTAAAAAAGGAATAATTAACGAAATAATAGATCTACATTTATCACTATGTTGAATTACACTCCAAGCAAATATTAGTACCTCTAGTTAAGAGTAAAGTATTTCGTATTCACATCGATCTGATCACAAAGTAAATATTTAATAGCATACTTTTGTGTGGCTAATCAAGAGCTTTGAAACCACATTTTCGATGCTGGAAACACAGAATTTAGTGCCACCTCCCAAGAGAGCACTAGAACAGCTTGGGAGGGTGGAGGAGCATGTTCTGCATCTTGCCGTACCAGGTGCTTTCCACTGGAGGCACAGCCACCGGAATGGTGAGCAGATCCCCCCGGGTGAATTTCACTGTGCGAAGGGACCTCCGCTGCCATCGATTGGCCATCACGATGACAGGACGACCGGGCCGCTCCTCCATGCGATGCATCTCGGCGGTTGCCACTCCGGCCGAGACGACGCTGCCAAGAAGGCGGGATCCAACCGAGGGACGATAGAATCCCAGTGGGGCCAAACCCATTTCCAACTCGCGAACGCGGGAAATCAAAGCCTTCGAGGAACCCAGACAGGTCTCGTGTGCGGCGGCGATCTCCTCGAGCGCCCGCTTCTTCAGGTCCCGGTACTGCATGCGGGATTGGGAGCGGGCGAGGTACTTCTTGAACGCCTCCTTCAGATGGCGACCCATGTTGAAGAGCTCCCGCCAACTGGCGTACAAGTCGCGGGCATATCGATACCGCTGAAGGCACTTGCCCGCCTCCAACTGTTTGGTCAGGTGGAAGGACAACACCTGCTCGTGCTCCTTGCGGCGCTCCACCAGCGTCTCCCTCTGCCGGGTGAACAGGCGATCCAGGGCCAGGAGTCGTCCGCTTCCCAGCTCCGAACAGCGAATCAGTGCATCCAACTGCCGGCGAATGCGAAGGTTGTTCAGCTGCAACTCCCTCACTGGGGGATCCTTGCTGCCGTGCAGGATCATCCAGCGGGTGTCCTCCGGCTCCAGACCCATTTCCGCATCCCTTTCACGCTCCAAATTCAAGTCCCGACCGTAGGGATCGATGGCCAAGCGCATCTGCATGTCGTCCAGCGTTCGATTCATTTCACCCATTTCGCGCTTCAAATCCTCCCAGGAAATCTCCCGAATGGCGGAAGATTGCTCCTCGGTGGCCTCTTCCTCCTCCTCAGAGTCATCCGAATATAGAGAATTGTCGGAATCGGCTATACAGTCGCGGTGGAACACCAGGTTCTCCTGTTTGTTTTTCTTTGTAGATTTCTTCATTTTTGGATATCAGTAAAAAAAAAAAGCAAATGTATTTGGTGAGTGTTTACTGGGTTTTAAAAAGTAAAACTATATCTTTTAATGGAAGCTCTTCTTAAAGCCTACTTTTAATATTTTTGTGAGGGATTTAACGCTTTAATTTAAGGTTCACCAGTTCATAATTCAAAGGTAATCCAATGTAAGTATTATTTTTCACCCGTAAATTGCAGATTAATTTTTTGGAATTTCCTTTGTATTCCTAAACCAACCTATGAATAATGAAAATTAAAATGTTTTTTCAAAACATTTATTATCCCATTCAGCTACTTGTGATATCCCTTCCAGAAAGTTATTTAGTTTAAGAATACAGGGTTAGTTGTTACAACAAAATCTGTAATCGTTTCGCCAGCCGCATTTACAAATTAAGCGCACTTAAGTGTTAAGAAAAAAAAGGTGAAAGGTGAAGTGTGGAGAGCCTGGCTCCCACTAGTCCTTGAACTTGCCCAGGACGATGTCCTTGTAGAAGGGAACGCAGTTCATGCGCACATTCAGTCTGGCGCACAGGAGGAATATTCCCGACAGCTTCCGATGGATGGAGTAGATCTCCTCGGGCGGCGGACACAGTCGATGCGCCACCATTGTGGGCACCAGAGCAGCCAACCGCTCCGTGGTGTTCTGCTTGCCGAAGTCGAAGTCGCCGTCGTAGCGGAAGATCTCGCCGAGTATCATCACCGCATCCACATGCGCCTGCTCCATTTGCTTCGTTTCGTAGCCGGTGAGGAAACCCATTTCGCGGGACATCTCCAGGACGCCCTGGCGATTGTTGTCCGCCGCACTCATGATCACCTGGCGATAGTTCCGGATGAACTCGTGCCGATAGAAGCGCGTCGATCCAAAGTCAATGAGCATCAGGCGACGACTGGGCGCATCGTACAGGAAGTTCGACCAATTCGGATCCGTTTGCATGCACTCGATCTCGAAGAGCTCGCGCAGACAGAGCTTCAGCACGGAGGCGGCAATGTGGGCACGATGCTCGTAGCTGCAAGGGATTGGGTTTAGTTTTGGGTCAGCAGAAATAGAGCAGAAATTAGTTTACCTCAAATCGAAGCACTTATCGAGCGGAACTCCTGGCACAAATTCGGTGGTCAGGACACTCGAGGTGGTCAGATCGCGCACCACGCGCGGCACATAGTACTCCGGATAGGGTGCGATCATCTCGCGGAACTTCTCCGTGTACTCCGCCTCGCGATCGTAGTCCACCTCCCACTGCAGCTCCCTCTTGGCCACGCGCACCACATTGTCGATGAAGAAGCCCTGCGGAAAGACGTCCCACACCTTGAGCATGCCAACCAGGTTATCGATATCGCTCTCGATGCTCTGGGCAACGCCGGGATACTGGATCTTGATGGCCACGTCCATGCCATCGGCCAGCGTGGCGCGGTGCACCTGGCCAATGGAAGCGGCCGCAAAAGGTTTGTCATCGAAGCGGCTGAGTCGCTTTCGCCAGTCGGCGCCCAATTGGGTGTTCATCACCCGTTCCACCTGCCAGTCGGGCATGTAGTCCGCCGCCTGGCGCACTCTCTCGAAAGCCTTGGCCAACTGCGGCGATACCACGCTGGAATCTTGGATGCTCAGGATTTGTCCGATCTTTAAAGCAGCTCCACGCACTTTGCACAACGTGTCGACGATTCGTTCGGCGTTGGCGGGACTCAGAAGGGCCTCCCGCATGCTGGTCGAACCGCCCAGGCCCAGAGCTCCCTTGGTCAGCTCGTTGATGGTTCCGATGCCCAGTCCCGCGAACAAACCGCCAAAGGAGGCCATCCTGCCGATTCGCGAGGAGGGAACCTTTCGCTGTTTGGCCACTTTGCTCAGTTCCGGGACATCGATGCCCTGCTGCGGAGGCTTCTTGATCTGCGTGTCGGGTTCCTCCGGCGTCTTGGCACCCGCCACAAAGCGGAGAACATTGTTGACATACTCGGTGTCCTGGCCAATGATCCCCGGATCGGGTTGATCGGGTTTTCCCTTTGTTTTCGGCGGCACCGTTTGACTGCTCTTGGTGGCCGGAGTGCGCAGGCTAACGCTCCGATCTTTGTTGCGTTTCGAGAGTATCTCCTCGAACTCCTTGAGCGTTATGGAGGATATATCCAAATTGGCGGCATCCCAATTGGTGATGTTTTGGCCAGTGGGCGTTGTGGGTTTTCTCGGTGGAGAGGGGTAAGCTGAAGGGGGTTCCGACTCGCTTGATTCCGCGCGTGACATCTTGATTTTGGTCTCCAGCAGCGAGCAAATTCCTTTGGCCACCACGTAGCCTCGTTCGCCGGTTTCTTGGAGGGATTGCTGCAGTTTTTTCAGCTCCTCCGTTGGATTTTTGCTGGAATTTCTCACCAGCTGTGCTGTCTGTTCGGCATTCTCGGCGATTAGCTCACGAATGCTCGAATTGCTCCACAGATGACGACCGTGGGCGAGATGCTCGCGCCCACACGCCTCCACCAAAATCCGCAGTCCCCGCAGCAGCGCCGCAACTTCTTGAGCGGATCGCGACATCGCTAGCGAGGCAATACTGGTTTGCAGCTCTCGCGTGGGTGAATCACAGGTGATCTTCGCCTCCGGATTACGTAAATCGAGTAAAAATATCAAAATGTTCGAGGTATCGCGCAATGTTGTGAAAATTCGGCAATAATCAGCTGCAAAATCAGCTGCCTGGCCATCCAGTGTTGCCACATCAGCGGTAATAAGCTAATTCTAGCTTTTTAAGCTAGAAAGCAGTAACAGTGCTGGCACCACAACGATTTCAAGCTATTCCTATCTATTTTTTAATAGGGTACTATAATAATTTAGACATAATATTAATTAATCCAATATGGCCTCCCGATAACTAAATCTCCCTGAAGACGCATACATATGTTTAAGATTTAAGAAAATTCTAAATTATAAAATACAAGTTTCTTTAATTCATACCGAAAGTTTAAAGAAAAACAATGATGTTGCTTAAGTGAACCGACAATAGAGCTCACATTTATTCAGCAGTCTAGCTTAGATCGTAAAAAATATAAGATTAAGTATGTACACCGAAATCCAAATCACAAGCGAATATGCATACCTCTATATACAATTTGTGACTAACTAAAGTTTAATCTAGACAATTGCACTAAAGCCACGCGACAGGCACTTTTGCTATTTATCGTGGGATCCGAAATCCGAGGTCCATTCGATCTACTTTCTGGGCAGGCGACCAGCACGTTCCAGGGTAGGATCTTCCAGTTTCCAGGCTGGTTTATAGCCATGAGGATCGCAGGAGCAGGCTGAATCGGGATCACAGTCGCATTCGGAATCGGTGTTCCTGAGATGCGGATTGGGAATTGTGTTGGAGCGGTTGCCGATGGAGGTATAACCCCGATCGTACAAACTGCAGTAGGGAACCGAGTTTAAGTGGATATAGTGCCAGACGTCGTGGTAAGTCCATTGGAGTAAGGGATTAAGTCGCATCATCGGTGGCCAGTCGTTATCCGTCGGCTAAAACATAAAAACAAATATGTCTTTAGTTTAACTAATTACATTTTTAACTTATAAGCTTTAAAAGTGCAATCAACATGAATTACTTTACCCGTTATATTTTTACCTTTGGTCACTAATTGTTCAAAAAAAAAATAACAATTAACCTTGCGACGTTCTTAAAAATCAATTACTTTTCAGAAAAGAATTATAATTTAAAAGGTTCAAAAGGTCTAATCTAATTACAAAGTATGGTAATTAAAAATATTTTTCGTAAGGTGCTTGAGGATATTGTACGTGCTTGATAGCTAATAAACCACAGACACCACTCAACGAGTATCTGATATAAGTACACCGTTATCTGTGACACGACATGGCGTTTCAAAATTCATATCATAGTGGTACTTGTAAAAAGAAATAATTGCCTAAAAAACAGCTGTGCTCGAAAAGGCAATGCTCTTGGCAACATAAAATAAGCCAATTAAATATTTGTTGCTAGACAAGAGACAAGTTCAAAGGTTATTTCACCATCTGATGTTCAAATGTGGCAAAAATCTGTACTGTATTGACTGGCTTTTCAAATAACCTATGGCTTTCGATTACTTTGCATTTAAAATAAATGTTTTTTGGCTTCACCTGCATGGGCGCCAAGTGCTGGCAGTAAGGATCTGTGTCCCGACTGCCCACAAAAACGGCCTTGATCCGTGGCATATCCTCTGCCATGTGGGTGAGTGCCTCCTTGAGAGATCCTTCGTACTCCACCAGTTCCACGTGGTAGTTGCGCACACACTGTTCGACGAAATCATCGATTTCCGCAAAGGAGTCCCCGGATTTAATGTACAACATGGGAATGTCACCGCTGGAAATGTTCTCCTGGCGGAGGTAGCGCATGAGGAGATCCAGGAGGACGGTGCAGTCCTTGCCGCCATTAAAACAGAAGATTAGCTCCTCGACGCCGTAGATTTGCAGGGTTTCCGTGAAGAAGGCGAAGGCCTTGCGCTGTCTCTCTTGGATTGCCTGGCGATCCTCTTGGGTTATTTCCCAGGAAACTAATGCATCTTGATTCTGGGTGGCCACCACATCTTCAGGATCCTCGGTACGTCCCGACATGCTCCTTTTGTCCACAAACAAATGCTTTATAATAGCTGCTTTTGTGGGTATTATGTTGCAATTTGCTGTTTTTGTAATTTGGCGGCATTCATTCATCGTGCTCAGTGGGCGTATCAGTAGCCGGGGGCGTGGCCGTACCCTGGCCAACAAAAACGATGACGTCACAAGCTGTCAATGCCGAGAAAATCGTAATTAAATCGAGCTGGGAAACCCAATAAAAATAAACAAAAACTTTCTCCGAAATTTGAAAAAGGCTTTTGTGTGTGTGTGCACTTGAAGGGCTGTTATTTCCCTGCAGTTCTGGATGTCCACTGTGGACTTTTTGCAATTAGGCAATCAGTGTGTAGGAAAGGAAAAGGGATATTCCTAAGTGTTCCTCTCTTTCTCACTCTTATAACACGAATCGTTGCTTGCACCCGACGGCGGCCCGACTCCAAATTTGTCTTCTATTCTTTCGATCGGAGAAAAATGAAACTGCGTCATTCTTTTAAGTAGTGCGTCGACTATTGGTTGTGAAATTACTTCACTTGTGCAACTGGCAGCGGAAATGTTTAAAAATCATGTAAGTGTCGTTAATATTACAAAAACATTATGTTTTTTACTACAAACTTATTTAAATCTTTTTAGGATTCAGCCATACATATGTCCCATAAATTCGTTTGAAAGGTAAGTTTACTTTAGATTAAAAAAAGTAATATATAACATGTAATAATAAAAATATTTGTACCATAGATGGACGCAAAACAGCCGATGGCCTGCAAGTACTCCACAGAAGTGGTAAACAAAAACTTTCGAATTTCATATTATTTATGTACTTATTTCTTATATTACAAAATAAGATAAATTAATAAAATAAAAAAGAATTAAATATATATATATTGTTTTTCATATGAATTTGGGGATGACATTTTTAGGCTTGACATAGATGATTTCGCTAAGGACATCCTCGCAAAAGCCATCGTTGAAAACTTCGCCTCCACGTCAGCTACGAAAGCAACAATGGCTTATACGAATTTTCTCCATACAAAATTCGTATAAGCCACCGACGACTTGTTCGATGAAACGGACAAAAAAGTCATCGAGAGCGACATGTATCCCGAAGACGGCGGTGCCATATAAAATGTCTCTATAAACTCGCGCCGCTGCGGCTAAGGCTGCTACCCCCGCTGTCGTCGGTGCGGCTTCGCACACTTCTTCGACGACAAAGCAATTTTGGAACTGCAGGGTTATGTAACTTTGTGTTTCAAAAAACCAACTTAAGCCTTCTGATTAACGTGGTAAATGCTTTGACGGTTGGCGTGCAACTGATTTGGCTTATCAGCCAGCCAAAATTACATCACATTCATATTGAAAAAGTAAGCAAAAAAAAGCAAAATTTAACCGAAAACCTCAGGCACACACACACACCAACAACAAATCGAACACATGGTGGTCACACATAAGGCACACGCACGCACAAACACTCACCCAAGCTCGCATGTATTTGTCGTTGCTGCGGGAATTACTGGCACATTTAACTACTTTTTTCGCAGCGGTGATAATGCATTTATTTCATTTTGTTAATTGTTATTCCGTGCCAGTAATTTCATTTCTTTTTGCCTTATTGAGACAACAACTACAACGAAACAACAAATGCTCGAAGCTTCGCGGACTATCGAAAATCAGCTGTTCCCGCCGAACTATCGATTACATTGGGTAAAGGCGGGAAGAAGCTAAAAATTTAAAAAAATAGCTACTTTAAAGAATATTGTTAAAAACATTTTGAAACAAGTAAGAAAATTCAATTTTGATTCAACATTTTTCAATTTAAGTGAAAAGCAATGACAACGGAATACATTTTGATTTCTGCAAATCTGCCAACTTCCTTCTAATAAAATTTAAATAAACATTTATTTTTTTAATTTTTATTTTACAAATAACAAATTGGTGTTCGTGTGTGTTTAACAACAAAAAGCACAATAAAAATACGCTCTACACATATAATAAATGGGCACTGTTGGCGTTACTCTGGGTGTGTGTTCTTCATTTCGTCCTAGTTTTTTGGTGGTTTCTACACGGTGAGAAAATATCACAAAATTGGGCGTTTTACACTAATTAGGCTTTAAAAGATTAAGCGAAGTGAACATGACATAATTTTTTTTAATTTACTTATCTTAGGCATAAATAATTAAGACTATGTGTTTTTCTATAAGGTACATATTTTTGAATTCCCCAATAGGTAAATTGTATATAAAAATATTATAGATAAACATTTTTTGCTTGAATGTGTTTAATATTTGTTGTTCTATATTATCTTTCTCAAAATTTTCCTTGATTGGATCTGCATAAAAGGTTATAATAGCAGGTCCAAAACGACACATTTCAACATTTAGCGAGTATCCTAATACTTGCGTTATTTTAAGAAACCGTTTTCAACTATTTATGAAGTTAGACAAGTGTTGTTGGTTTCACAATTTAAAATTTAAATGCTAATCACTGTCCCAATTGTTATGACTTCCCCCTGTGTAGATTTTCCCGCAAACTCAGACATCTATGTTATCCAGGACATTGTCGATGAGGCCAACGACTTTCTGGCGGAATCGTCGATTCTGCTTGCCACTCATTTCCTTGAGGTACGGATGCAGGCTGATCAGAAAGGAGTAATCGGCATCTGGTGGCGGAGGAATGGGCAGGTTAATGGCTCCCGATCCGTGCCCCAATCCGCCTGATAAAGCTCCCAAAGAGGGCGTGGCCGGCGGGGGCGGTGGCGAGGTTAACTTATGGGGATTGTTGTTGGTGTGATTGCCCTTGAACCACTGCGTCAGATCCGACCAGTCCAGGTGATTGCCCAATGCTGCGGCGGGAACTGAGACCAGCGACTGATGGCCCGCAATCCTGTCCAGTTGGGGATTTTGATTCAGGCTTGCATTGGGATTCAAGGAGGGCTGCTCCACTTTGATGGCTTGCAGGCGGACGGGCAGAGATGCGGTGGGTTGCTCCTGGCTCTGATTTTGATCCTGATTCTGATCCTGATCCCGATCCCTTCTCGGATGAGCCTCCTCCTCGGAAACCTGCACGTCCAGCGGCATTTCGCTGTCGCTCCCTTTGGCCTCCTCGTCATCGTCTGCCTGCTGATTTGGATCCGGATATATGGGTGGTATACCTGCCGTGTTTCCGGGCTTTCGCAGGACCATTCCTGCCGGAGGATTCGTACTGTGCGAAACCACCTTGTGACAGGATCGCGATTTGGTGTAGGGAATGAGGAACTGCAGGTACTTGGACAGGTAGTATTTGCGCTTTCCGCGGCCGGTTTGTGTGCGTGCCAGCTTTAAGGATCGGAGAAAGCTGCTTCTTATAGTGCGCCACCTCTCGCGGCAGTTGCGCACTAAAAAAGTCGAGGAAAAATAAATAAAAAAGTAAATCTTATATGTTCTGAGTTGAAAGTTTTAAGCTCTACATAAAATCATAAATAAATTTTAATATTAAAAACAGCAATCATTTTTTTTACAGTGTATTTCCGCTAAGTGCAACAATTGCTGTACAAAAGAAAATTGCAAACTCAAAAGCAACAGTAACCGAAAAGCAAACGCAAAGACAGCAACAAATTACAGGCAAAAACTGCGCGACACAGTGACACACCTACACAAATGCAAAAAAAAAAAAAAAAAAAACAAAACAAATAAACAGCAAGAAACACCAACTGCATGGGATTCACACGCACACCAGCCCGCAAAAGCTTGCATCATAGACACACACACACACACACGCACAGTAAAATGAGCACGCAATTGGCGGCGAAGAAGAATCAGGCGGAAAAAAGATTGTTTTTTCACCGTTTTCTTTTCTTTGTTGTTGCTGATTCTCACCCGTGTCCTTGATCTCATTGGCCACCTGCTGCCACGCCCTCTGCACCTCCTCTTTTTTGCTGTATCCTGGATGCGTATAGTTCCACAAGCATGGCTGATTTTCGACGAATTGCACGAACCGCACGTTGAAAACGGGATCGTCCTTGCGTGCCATTGTGACCCAGCACATGCCTCCGTCCCGCTCGCACGCACTTTATTCCTGTTTCTGTCTCGTTCTTTAACGGTAAATCACACACAGTCCAGGGACGGAGCAAGAAGGGGTCAAAGAAGAGAGTGTGGGGCAGCGAAAAGAGGAGGACGCCGCAGCAACAACACTGCTCGCAGCGGCCGCGCAACCAAAACTGAGCTTTAAAATCCCACTGCGCGCCAATTGCAAATTGCAAATAGCAAATAGCAACAAAAGCTGCAGCGCAAACACTTTATGCTGGCACAAAACAGCAGCAACAACAAGTGGTAATGGTTTTTTTTGAGGATCAAACGACGAGACAATACCCTAGACAGAAAACAAAAATGCTATATTTTTTTTAGAAGTAAAGTATAATTAAAAACAACCATAGATCTAATTCCAATACGGTCATAACTCAAATAGTTGACTAATATATTACAAAATAAAAGCACACTTAGAAACTGTAAGAATTGGTTTCTCTTGTTATGAATAGCTGAAAACAATTGCATACATTCTAAATAAATTCAAAATATGGGTTATCCCTAAAGGGATCAAAAAGTGTTTCGATGCCCACAAACCAACCGACTAATTCGATATACCCCGATGACTGCATATCGAAATAATCAACGGCGAACAACAGCTGCAGCAGTGCAATAAAAATTGTATAAGCAATACATTTCAAATGCAGCACTTGCAACGGTTGTGTGTGTGCGAGATAGAAAAGCTTTGCCGATGACGTCACAGGCTGCATTTGTTGCATACGAATCAAAAGCAAAGAAATCAAAAGCAATCAAATAAAATATGTGTTGCAAACGCAAAATAAATTAGACTCAAATGAGGTCTTAATGATTCTTTTCAGAATTTATACTCACTTGGAGAAGAATTGGAGTGGTTAATAGGCAGAACACAAAAGTAAGTTAAAATTTGGATATACGTTTATTTATATTATTTATCTACCTGTTTTTGTAAACAAATATTTAAATAAAAATAAACCTAATTATTATTCAAATAAATTGTGTTTCTTTCTGGTGTAGTAACCAGATCAGGATTGGTATTTATATTGTAACGAGTAAGTTTTTGAAAACAACAAAGTTTTTTCAAACAAAAACTCACAAAATTTGTATTCCTCGTAATAATAATGTTCTTTTATATAAAAATTTTGAAATATTACAAAAAAATATATATATAAACTTCGTTATACATTTGTTTCGAATTCTGTGGAAATTATATTAAATTTTTTACAAGTTTATAGCTAGAGAATGGGTCCGATAGTTTCCATCAAAGCTCAATACCGAAATATCGCCACAAATATTGCTTAATTTTTACACCTCTAGCTGGTGCGTGCTGACTTTCCAACACTACAGCTGGTCGCATAATCAATTTGGAAATTGTTGTATTTTTAAAGGAAAATCAGTTTATTTCATAGCGAAAAACATGTCAGCGAGTGGAAAATTGATGCTGAGCAGTGGCCTTTGCCAAAAGCTAAGTCAGGTGGGTATTTAAACCTTATGATCCCAGTGAAAAAAGGCCCTAAAACCGTTTAATATTCCCAACAGCTCACAAGAAAGTTGCACATGCAACCGGCACTGTTGTCCAGTTTTCGTTCATCACGAGAAGTTCAGGATCTGGACAAATACCCAGACGTAGAGGTTGTGGCCAATCCTCCCGAATGGCGGTTCGTGGAACGTCTGCTGCCGGCGGACACAGTTCCACAGCCCCTGGAGAAGCCAAAGTATCCATCCGGCTGGCGGCCGCAAAAGGAAAATGGCTCAGAATTAGGTTATTTTGTGGCAAGGACGAAGAATCACATGGTGCCGGTGTATCTCCACACCAAGTTTCGTGGCCAGCGCAGGATTACGGTGGTGCGTCGCGTCCAAGGAGACATCTGGGCGCTGGAAAAGGATCTACGAGCGGTGGTCGAGCAGTCGCGAAATGGAAAACTCTGCGCCACAAGGATCAACGAACTGAGCGGTCAGATTCACTTCCACGGCGATCATGTCGACGTCCTGCGAGATTATCTCAAGGAGAAGGGCTTCTAAAGACCACCTAATATTCGTTCTTTGCCGCAATAAACTATTTTGTTGATTTAATTGAGATTTCTTATCATTTAACTCGGACTTCTGCTTTGTGATTAAGAAATACTTCGGAACCTCCTTTTTCAGGCTTCTTGCTGTTCTATGCAGAATATATATATTTGTTAATACGAAGATATATATCCTTTTGGATACTAATCCCTCTCAAAAATAATTAGTCTAGAATTATCAAATAGATTTATGTTGACCGCACATCCACTTGGCTGCAGTTCGCTTTTATTTTGCACTTAATGTTTAGCATAAATTACATACATCGTCTGGATGGGGGGCATTATTCTGAGAGTGGTGCTCGAGGCTCTACGACTAAAATCTAGAGGAAGAGGAAGTGGGAGGAGGATCGAACTTAGCACGTACAATAAGTCTGGTTCGGGCTCGTTTGAGCTCTGCTACTGCTACATCGCTGCTACTACACATCTACGTCTACGGCTGCTGCCTCCTCGGCCGCTGCCGTCAGGTACGCGTCAGGTGGGCGTAGGCAGCTGCCGCGCCCCACCGCTATCCGCTGGCACCGGCCATTGCCGGCAGCCCGGCCAAACTCACGCCCACTCCCGAGGTGGGCGTGACTGTTCCGGCGGTGGCCGACGAGGAGGATCGCTTAAGGGCCTTGCGTATGATCGTCCAGTCCTCCATGATGTCCTCCTCGCGCAGCATATACACCACATATGGCCCCGTGACGGTGACGGCCTTCTTGCGACCCGGACCGCGCACCTTGCTCTGCCGCTTGTCGGTGCCCCAGTCGGCCCACGAGATGTCCACGTTATGGCGGTCCTCCTCCAGGCGGCGGATGCGCTCCACGAAGTCCTCGCGCAGGTTGTCCACCGCCATGTGTTTTTCGCTCTGCAAAATAAAGGATTGTTTTTGTTTGTTATTGTTATGATGAATAAGTGAGTTTAGGTAAGGTAGATACTGTTCTTTCTAGTTCAAACCCACATTAATTGGATTTTTTATAGCAAATTCATCAACGCGATTTGTTATCTGATAATTAGATTACAAAAGAAGTAATCTATACATGTGTTACATTATGGGGAAAAAGTTTTAAAACTATTCAAATTACTGTGGGAAATAACCTTCAAGGCTAATGTTCGTTAAATAACATCGTACTTTCATACCAAATACCTCACAAACAATAAAACTTATCTAATTGGGGTATTAAAAGCGCCAATTCGGTATTGCAATTTTTGGCGCCAAAAAACAGGGTGTATACCTCAAAGTGCTGGACGGCCGCTTGTTCCTCGGACTGGAACTTGTGCTCGATATTCTGCAGGCGGAACTTGCGCAGGACATCTGCCACCTCGATCCTAGTGCGATAGACCTTGTCCAGTTCCTTTTGCGGCTGTACAAACTCCTCCGACCGACCGGAACGCACCTCGGCCAGTTGTCTTTCGATGAGATTGATGCGTTCGAAGTAGTATTGCTCCCGCAAGGTGTTGAACTGCCGCTCCAAGCTCACTAGAAGTTAAAAATGTCCGTGAGAATAGAATAACCAAGAAGTTGGTCCAAAAAATGCGTACACAAATCCTCCATATGCTCCGCCCTCCTGCGCTCGATTTCGCTGGCATCGAGCTCCGAGGAGTCATCTGAATCGCATTCGTTGGCCTCCTCCTCGTCGGATGTGTCATGTGCCTGGCTGGAATTCGAGTGCTCCGATTCTCCGCCAGAAACGTCGCCTTCGCCATCGGATTCTCCATTCTTTACGGGCATTTCGGCTGGAGTAACGCGGCTATTTTGAGGGTTCCGGCTATTTCTGATAATCCGCTTGGCTGACTCACTGCAGGTGGTCTTAAAAGTAGCCTTTTCTTGTTTTTTGTTTACTTAAAACTTCTAAGTATGTGTAATTTTTAGGAAAACTGTGGAAAACTACGAGCTGTAGCAAAAAGTGTGGGGCAGCGCTGCGTGGGCAATTCAGTGTTGGTAAACGCGCGTATGAAGCATCAAGTCATCGGTTAAATGGCTAGGAAATAGCTAAAACTGAATTTATTCACAGTCGGTGTTGATTCATATTATTTTTTATCTTTGAAGTGTTCGAAGCAAATTTAAAAAAAAATTAGTTTTCAATATTTGTTTGATTTACCCAAGCAATTCGCATTTTAAAAACTTCAAAAAAAATTGTCTAAGCGTTATGAATATGCATTTTTTTGCAGTTAACCAAGTTAACATTTATCGAATTTCAAGCCGTTTTAGAATTATAACAAAATATTAGTTCATATGAATTTAAACTTATACAAGCTACAACAACTGCTGTTTAAGTCTGACAATTTATTTACTATTACAACAATTTATTACAATTTATTTAAGCTAGAATAGCAATTTTCTTCGATTGCTTTGATCTGATGCCAGCTCTAGCTGACGAACGCAGCTGCCAGCTGATGGGCCACCCACCTATCGATAACCGATAGCCCTTCGCTGCCAGCAAATTTTTTTGGGGCCAAGTGGAAAATACGTGTAATATTTACAAGTATCGAACTGAAAGCCCATTAGCTTAGACTGAGCCAAATGGAGACGCCCACGGCAGACGATCTGCTGCAATTCCGCGACTATAGCGGCGGTGCCCCGGCCCAAATCAATGTGAACTCCCCGACTCACAGTGGATCTGGTGGTTCTAGTGGTTCCGGTGGTGCCAACGCACAGCGTCAACGCGGCGATCCGCTGGCGGATCTGATCTACGACATGAGCACCTCGGCCCAAGGACTTTCCGGCGGTGGATCCTCCGGCGGAGGTGGTTCCCAGCCGCAGAACTCCTCATTGGACGGATCCGGCGGCGGTGGTGCACGTCTTTCCTTCCTGACCATCGAATACTATCAGCAGTTCTTCAACGTGGACACCTACATGGTCCTCGAGCGGATCGCCAACTCCATGATACCCAAAAGGGCAGCTGGCAACTATCTGCGGATGAACATCGGAGAGAACCCGGATCTGTATGGTCCATTCTGGATAACAGTCACCTTGGTGGGTATTTTCTTTGGGGGCTGGGCATTCCTCAACAATTTTTCGATTTTTATTAGAAGACAAACCATACGAGAAGGATAGGCAACCTGATTATTTAACCATTCGCAATATTGTTTGTCCTTTCCTTATTTCTAATAGTTTCTTGTATAACTTAAAACAGACTTAAGCAATGCAAACATATTTTGTAAATTTTAAATCAGTATCAGGTTATTTCATTATTTAATGAAATTATCTTCAAGTGGAATATACCATTTTTCATAGTATAATATGAGGCGGGTTTAATAACGATATTATAACATTAATAGTTGTTTAATCACTTGGACTTGACGGGGAAACCTCTATTTAAACATCTTTCCAGATTTCTCTAAATTCAATATTTATTTCCTTTATTAAACCACAACTCTTTATTTTTTTTCAGATATTTTCGATAGCCATTAGTGGCAACATAGCCAGTTACTTGCACCATGCCAGTGATGGCTACTACTGGCACTACAACTTCCACCTGGTTTCCTACGCGGCCACTTGCATCTTCATGTACGCCAACCTCTTGCCGGCCGTTTTGTGGGCCTTGTTCAAGTACAGCCTGAAGCCCGTTGATTCGGCGGACGCCGTTGAAACAGACAGCGTAAGTTAGAGTTAGAGTTTTCATCCATCCGTCTCACTCACATCCGTGCTTCCTTGCAGGCCACCTACACTCCGAGTCTCCTGTCGCTGATGTGCATCTACGGATACAGCCTGGCCATATATATACCCGTCTCCATTCTCTGGGTGATCAATGTAAGGATTTGTTGTACAAAAGTATAATTTAGTGCGGAAACTATCTAGGCTGCTAACCATTGAAGTAGATTTAGGATTTAATTCAAGTTTGTTTACTTTTTATAGTTTTAGTGCACAAAAGGTTTTGCAAGTCCTATCTTATCGTTGACTTTTTAGTAAACCATACTATAATGTCTTTAATCTCTTGCAGATATCGCTGCTGCAGTGGCTCTTGGTAATCACGGCCGCCTTGCTTTCGGGCACGGTTTTGATTGCCGTACTGACGCCTGCACTGCGGAACTCGCAGTTCTCGCTATTTCTCATCATCGGTATCCTGAGTGCCCATGTGGTGCTGGCCGCTGGATTTCTGCTGTACTTCTTTCACAGTCCCCCCGAGTCGCCATTGGCTGCAGTTGCTCCGACATCAGCTGCACCTGCTGCTGCGGCAGGCCTGAAAGCCGTGACCCAGGCGGCTCTGAACGCAGTCCAAGGCAACCAGACCCACTAGGAAGCATTCCAATGAAGCCAGTTCGTCGCCGTCGCAGACACTTGTTGTATATTAAGTTGTCCCTATTATATAATATTCGTAGGAAGGCCAATGCTTGGGTTCATTTGTTTCAGGATTAATCCACTGAAGCGTCTGAGCCAAAGCTTTCCGCTTTTGTGCTTTGTATTGACTTTCTTTAACATCTGGCGACTGTATATTTATATTTAATTAGTGGTAGAAGTACGTGTAATACCAAAAAAGAAAAGAAAACAATCGCAAGAACTTATTGCTGGGGTAGTAAACGATTTCAAATTTTTGTCGAAGAAGGAACAGAAGAATATGTTTATCATGCCATCATTAAATTGTAAATATAATCCAATATACTTAAAATGACTTTTACTTGGTCTAAAGGGTTAGTTTAGTTGTGATTAATTTCTTGTTCTTGTTACATTTTCAATTAATGGACCTTTTACCACATAAAATGGTGAAAGATATTTATTTTGACACCCAGTCTATTACGTAAAATAAAGTGTACTTTTTCACATCAGTGGCCATATGGAGAAAGTCCTTTGAGAGGCAAGAAATGGAATAGAAAAGGTGGCTTGAGAAGAAGGGGGATGCTGAGTTTGGTTTTGGTTTGTTTTCTGTTTTCTGTTTTCATGTTTTTGGGGGAGGTGGTTTGCTTTTTTGGGTGGCTGCACGGGCTTTTGGCCACCATACGGGCGGGTGGTAGTGTAGTCACATACACACCCACTCGCATTTATATACAGGGTTATGTGAACACGATATCTGGGACCTCGGGGGCTATTCATCGTTTTTGCTGCTGTTGTTCATGTTTCGGGCTTGCTTTTGGAACATTTCAGACGCTTGGCGTGTTTATTCGAGCAATGTGAAAATTATTCGTAACGGACGATGCTGGAAACAGGGTGTTTTTTTTAACCTACCTAAGAGCTAAAAATTCCATCTTAAAGATAAGTTAAACAATTCAAAAGCGATACAAAAAAAATTCAAATGGCACAGGATCGAAAATGAGGATTTAAATTTTTCTTTTAGAAATCATATATTTTTATTTACTTAGAAGAAATTCTCCAAGAAATTAAACCCGTTATAAACGTATTTTTGAGGTTTAAAAAATAAGGAAAGGAGTTATTGAAAGCAAAGAATGTTCAAGTACATTCTAGAAAATTTAAAAAAAAATGTCAGGAACATTTTGAAAAATATGTTTTATATTATATGATATTAAAATTTTATACATTTTCAGATATATATTGAGTATTTACAATTAAACTTTAAATAAATCATTCAAAATTAATATCTTATTTAAATTTGCAAGCTCACCCCTTATTAAATTTGGTATGTAATTCACGTACATAGTCCTTTTAGATATGTGTGTGCGCGGAAGTCCTTGCGAATGTGTGCGGTCTTCTATACGTGTGAATGTGTGCATGTATTTAGCTGACTTGCACCCACGCACATTTATAGAGGGAAAATTTCTCAATTTCAAATGCAAATATTCGCATAACGCATCGTTAGATTTGTCGTTTTATTTATTCTTTTTATGCAAGTGAGACGGGTGTACGTCGCTCATCTTTCTCACACCTTTCGCCGAGTTCTCTTTGCAAAAACAAAACCCATTTACTTACAGATGTAAATACATAGACATGCGTTGCATAGATTGAAATACGGGGCGTATACTTGATGTCAGCATCAGGATCACATTTTCACTTCTGTTTTTCGGTTGATATATAAAGTTAAAAGAAATCTGAACTGTGAGTTGCAAATTCAGTTGCAAATCGCTTTGATGTTGAAGTTGATGTTGATTTTAAGAAAAGTAATATTATAAGGTAATCTAATTAATTCCTAATATTGCACATTCGAAATAAATTTATTTGTTCAAATTTACGAAATTGTCTAAGATAAACACTCCAGTGAATAAACCTGTAAGCAATTGCTAAAATGTAAGGCTGAACAAATAAGAATAATTATTATCAAATTTCGAATCAATTGGATAGAAATTCCTGAAAGCAAGATTAAAAACAAAGTAGTTAAGGAAAATAATTTAGTCTTATATGATATCTTCCTTATTTACCTATTTATTTATTTGTTTCCTCCCAAAACAAATAATTATATATTGGAATTTTCTCCCGGTGAGAAATAAATAATGGGGAACAACCAAACATTAATCTCGCAATGTCTGTGTGTCGAAACGCATAAATTTCCGAATGCCAAGTTCTGTATGGCCACTGATTCCATCGATTTGTGGTGGCATATAGATTAACTGATTTGCCATTCAGCTGATTAGCATTCGAGTGGGTGGTGGTGTTGGCGGTGGTGGGTGGTTTAGTGGGTGGTGCGCCGGAAGCGGAAGTCACTCGATGGCTGTTAAAAGTTTTTTGCCTTTTATTCCCTTTTATTTGTCCGATGGCATTTTTTTTTTGGGCGGGGGAAGGAGTGAAATTAGCTGATGTGCAGCGACTTGTGTGATTCCTTTTTTGTTGCCTCTTAAAGCAATTACGCCATCCCTTTAGATCTCCATCCCTTTTGCGCTCGGCAATCCCTTTCCTCTGCAAAAATGTGCACTTCAAAGAATGTTTGTTGTATATTTAAGTTTCGTTTAATTTTTTTTTTTGTAATGTTTATAGGATTTCTTTAAAATTGGTAGATATATTTAAAGGATTTTATTTCGCTTGAAATATGAATATAAAAAAGGAAACTTAAAACACTCAAGTAAAAAGTATTGCTATATGTACATCCAAAGAACATGTATATATTGTTTGTTTATATAAATATATATTTTTTAATATTAATTATTTTTAAAATATTGTTTTCTGTGTACCCTTATGCCAGTGTGAGTGACTTAACCCCTTTGAGCCGCCCTCGTAATGCATTTGAAGCGTTAAAACGCCACTTCAGTGAGGATGTTTGCTCCCCGGCAAGGAACTGCACACTGGAAGGATTCGGGGGTGTAGGGGGTTAAGAGGCTAAAGAGCTTGGGGTTAAGGAGGAGAAGGAGGGGGAGGAGAGGGAGGGGGAGAGGGCAGAAGTGCATATGCTAATTGGTAAGTGCACGGCTCAACGAGCACCTGTTGAAGTCAGCATCTCTCTCCTGCAGAAATTCAGAATCAGATACCGAATTCAAGAGCCAAACATACAGATCCTCTAGTTTTGTTGATATATGTATATTGCTTTATTGGTTTATTTATATTTTGTGCTATATAAAAAACATAAATTAAGAAGTATTTGAATATTATATACCATGATATTTAGCTTTAGTTAAGGTAAGTCAAAACTTTACATTTATTTTAATTTTCAGGTAAGTCCTCATTGCTTAACCATAAAATTAAATACAATATTTCAATATATGTATACTCTTCAAATACTCAGAAACGAACTTAAATTTCCTCAGTATATTTGTTTTCTACTTTATTTTCATTTTTGAAGCTTTAGTAATACGAGTTTTCTAAATAATTTCAAATATCTATGCGTTTTTCATTCTAATTCTAATTCTATACTGAAAATTCAATTTCCCTGCCAGCTGACCAAATCGCCAGTTATATTTTGATAGGCTAGTAATTGAGTTTACTTGGAATCGAGTATGTATAATGATTTATTTTGTTAACGAACTTAAGGAGCTTAAGGACTGGGGGTTCGGTTAAAGAGCTTATATTTGGGATCCTTCTTACCGGCTGTTATTGGGTTAATTCTGCAATCCTTTTCCCCCTTTTCGCCTGCGTGACTGCTCGTCTTTATTTTCCATCTATTTTGTGGACATCCTGGGGCCATACCACCGTGCACCATACACGTAGCCGCCCAGCAGGATGTGCCACGCCCCCTGCACTCAATTAAGTGTCTATGTGCGTGTGGGCGAGGAGTCCTCTGTTGACTTGAGAACTTGGCACAACTTTTGCGTACGAGTTGGTGACTACGTGACAGAGGTTGCAATTGCCCCTCGCTACCCCTCCATCCCCCCTAAACCCCCTCTTCTACGCCCATCCCCCTTGTTTACCCCCGAATGGCCCTGTTTACCAGGCGACACACCCCGAAAAATAATAGTTGTTAATATTTCAGAAGCCCACTGTTTTGTGGTGTTCGGAACTCGTTGGCGTAAATAGCCGCTTTGTTCTTGAATTTTTTTTAAGTTCTCAAATTGGTTAAAGTTTTGTTTATATCTGTTTACTTACCTGCACCCCAATAATACAAATATATCAAATAAAATAATAATACCGATTGAAACATTTTATAAAAATCATTAATATGTTTTAGAGTCTCAAATTGAGTTGGTAAAGTCTTAAATAAGATTGTTGTATGTAGGTTTATTATATGTATTTAATGCATTTCATATTTACTTGCAGTGGAAAACTTAAAAAATGGCATTAGTTATTTTATTATTTCAGTTCCTAATAGTTGTTTTGTCAAATTGGGTAATTATTCGTTTACTTCTATGTATTACTACTCAGACTTATTTGAAGTTAAAATAAAAATAAAAGAATTATAAAAGAAAGAAAAATGTAGACTAATCAAAAGTGCAACACTCAGGCATTTTGGTTTATTTTTGTTTTTAAGAAGTTTTTCAGTTCCGAAATACTGAATACAACAAGTTAGTTACATTTTTTTTGGGTGTATCCCCCTCGATAGTTGTTTTTGGTGTTGCTGTAAGACGTTCGTCTTTAAGGCCACGTCCTCATCTTCAGATGCCACCGCACGAGTATCCACAGGGCCATCTATCTAAATGTATATCTATCTAGATGCGGGTATCTGCGTCTATATCTCCGGGAGAGTGTACGTGTGGAAAGTGCGGACAATCTGCCGGCCGGCCGGTTTGTCTCCGTGCTTTTGGGGCGTGTTCGGGCGCCCAGTTTGACACAATTTCGAATGCCTCCGCCCATATGCAGAAATTGCTCCATTTTCCGCTTTGGCGGAAAAGTCTACACGGCCTGGAAAATTCTCCAGCGGGACAGCGCCCCTACGAGAGCTTTTCCAGTGCGACAATCGAGGAGCTTTTCAACCGGCGGCGATTCCTTGTATCTTATATCCTATATCCCCAATCCCCCATTCCCATTCCATCCTAGCTCTATGTATCCAGTTTGGGATTTGGCTTAGATAATCGCCATTTCGCCATGTGGCAAGAGAGAATGGGGGGTTGCACACATAATTTCATTATTTATTTTAATTAATTGAAATTGCTGAAAGGCCGGCGGCTCCGCGATGACCCTAATGCTAAGTAAGCTCACTAATTGCAATCGACTTCGAGGCAGTCCTCCACTTTGAGTGAGTGGGATAATGGAAGGGGATCGTCTGAGGATGCAAGTTATGTTAATATTTTCGCAGTCAAGTACTTGCAAGTTGGCCAATTAACGGTATTACATAGTCATTATTATTTGATTGCAGTAAAGTTGCCTCGAAAAGTTGAAATAGTTATCAACATTTTATTGCAGTTTAGTTGCCTTGAGTGTTCAAAAGATGAAATAGTCAAACTTGTTGTTGAGCGCAGATAATTAAATTAAAGTTTAAAATGATAAAATAATCAAAATAGTTTTGGTTGCAGTTAAGGTACTTTAAGTAACATTTAAATATAAAATGGCCCTTATTCTTTTATTTAAGTTTAGTCAGCTTAAGTGTTAAAAGATTAAATAGTCAGTAGTTATATTTCAATCTAGTTGAGTTTTTGTAAGTATTATAAAAATATTAATAGTTTTTTTATTATTTAATTGTGGCTAATTTGGTATGCTTACTGTTTTTTTTAATTTCTTTTTATATTTTGTTACGTGAACAGTATTTGTCTTACCTTCTAAAATTTTAATCAAAATTGTGCATTCCATTTTGTAGATTCAATGTGTTATTTTATAATAAATATTTTTTGTGGTTTTGTAAATTAACATGAAACTATACTTAAAAATTAATTAAAAAAGGGAAACTGTGAACTTATGAATGTTTTGAAACTTTATCAAATAAAATCAGCATTTTCCATGTTTTTGGTTATTTGGTTATAAAGTTTCTGCGTAAAATGTGGTTTTTCGATAATTTGTTTCACAAAATTGCGCTTCTAAAGCCACAAAACATTTTGTTTTGCCGATTTCTGTGGCAAGACCGCTAAAATACGGCATATTATAAATTCATTTGAGAATATTAATATTTGATCAGCTTCTATTTGGGCAAATTGAGTCCTTAGTTGAACATAGAATTGCAATGCAAATATTTGCTGTGTTGCTGTCTCTTTCTGCTGGCATCTAGCCGTCTCTTTTTACTGTTTGCCGGCAACTGAGACAAAGTCTTGCAATTAATTTCAAATGCGAATGCACCGAAGCTCAATGCAAACATTTGCACAATTTCAAATCGCTTTTGCTATTGCTCTGCTTTATTTCCCACCCACTGTTTTCCCACCCACAGCTTTTCCCTCGCCTCCCACAGTTTCATTCTTTTTTCGTACACATAAAAAACTATTTTCTGTATTTGTATATTTTAAAAATAAGCGAATTGATATATATATCTTTTCATTTATTATTATGGTAACAAATTAATCGAGATATATAACATTTTACATTGTTTGATATTAAAATTGATTAATCAATTATACAGTTATCCCATCGTTTTTTATTAGATACTTTTAAAGATTGTTTTCAATTTTTTCTTAAAGCTTATTCTCCTTAATTTTAAACGTTTATATATTATACTTATACAGTTGGTAAAGCCTTGTTTTTTCCAGTGCCTTATCCTGTTGTTTTTGGAAGTTCCGAGCAGCTGAAATTACACAGATTACAAGGGATTTGGCCAACGACGAGCTGTTGGCACACATTCTACAACGCCACGTAGTTGCCACGCCCCCACGATGCTGAGGAAAATGCATTTTCAAATTATTTCGATGCCGCGTTTGGAGAGAATTTTCAGCTGGCCTGGAGAGTTGAAGCCGGGTGGAAAAGTGGCAGTGGGAGAGGGCGAGGGCAGAGCGGGGGTAGGAAAAGCTAAGGGCGAAAGCTCTGCTCCTGTTCGAATTGTAGGTGCTGCGTTTTCCGTGAAAAGTCTCCTCCGCAGGATGCGCTGGCGTCGCTGCCCGCTTCGCAGTCGCTGCGGAAAAGCGCCTCTCTCTCATTTTCTGGGGAAAACTCAGTACGAGTCAAGCAGTCTTCGGCGCATCCAGCAAACGCGGTTCTTTTTTAAGCGCGTTTTCGTATTATTCTACTCATATGATTTATCATTTGCGTCGCTATATGATTTCTCCTTGTTTCCGTAGTACGAAAAGCAACTACTACTAAAAAACAAAAACAACCAAATAATAAAAACAAACAAAAAACAACAAATAAAAAATTATTCGGCCACAGTTTAAAGATCGGCGGAAAAGAAGAGGACGAAGAAGAAGAAGAAGGCGGAGGAGCTGAAATCAACTTGCTGGGCAAAAAGAGAGAGAATTGCTCCTGGGGAAAAAACCGGCAAGGACCTTCCTTCAGTCAGTCAGTCAGTACGTCCCCATCACTTTTTTATGTCTTTTTGTATATGTGTGTGTGATTGTGAGAGTGAGATCGACGATCCAAGAGATACTCGTACATCCCAGAACACTGAGAAATCCTATTTCGCAACTCCTTTGCGAAAGCTCAAGCTAAGCTTACGAACTGGAGCTCAAGCTAGATCCTAAATAAGGTATATAGAAATATATAGCATGTCGATCGCGGAAATGTGAGTAAAATGAAAGGAAAATATAGCTCACGACAAAATGAATTGATTTTAGTAAATATAGGTAACTCATCAAAGTAATAATATAACCATTTGATTTTTACCTATTGAATGCATTATTGTTAACTTAAGTTAAAAGGCCATCAAGAAACAAGTTACAAATTAAGATTGATTGATATTAACAAATCATTTAATATCATATTACACTGTGCGACAAGAAAATGTTTGAGTTGATTTTTTCTTATTTTTCACTTCTACTAGTCAAAATAAGAATACAAGTTTTTGGATTTGTTAATATCAATAGCCAATCAGCTTCTACGCACACTCAAAGGTCCCAAAAACGCGTGTTTTTGCATATTTCACAGCCTTATAATACCATATTGGGAAAATATTTTTTCACCGTTATAAGCGTTTTATGCAAGTTCAATATCTATTAATTAAAATATATTAAGCAAATATACCGTTAGGCTTTTATAACAATGCTTTAAAATTTTTTTCTCCCAGCTCTATACCCTGGGCGACTTCGTATGGAACTTGTTACGCGAGGATACCTCTGAAAAAGCCAAAAAAATCAGAAAAATATTTCACTTTTAAAAAAAATAATAGTTTATTGGAAGTAAAAAAAAAATAATATTTTGTGTTAAATATTTTCATAATAATAATTTCATAAAATTTATCATAAAAAAAGAAATCCTATCACTTAGAAGGTGGCATAAATATTTTTGTGCATAACTTATGCCCCTTAACCGAAAACAATCAAAAAAGTAACTCAAACAAACATTTCGTTAAATTTTGTCGCACAGTGTTATTGCTGTTAATATATAATATTATTTATAATTTATGATAAATTGCACTTTTCCTTAAAAACTTCCTTTATATACATTAATTTAAAATCATAAATATTTAAGTTCATTTTTTAATATTTTTATCTTTTGAGAAATGTTAAAATTGAAAGTTGTACAATCCGGAATTTCAACATTCAATATTAATGTTAATTACTTTGCTCATTTGTAAGTTTTTCTCAGTGTATTCTTTTAGTATGTACGTCTGGAAAGGGTGTGGCATCGACCTAATTACCGGCTTCCAATTTTTAGATACTTAAAATTAAACTGAGATTGTGTGAACCATTTTTAAGACTTGTTGTCCTTTCTTTTCATTGCAGCCAATTCAGAGCGTATTAACACAAAAGTCTGCTGGCAGCAATCATCTTTAAGCCAAATTAACTAAAAATCTCAACAAAATCGTTATAAACTATTGCATACAACTATCATCAAACTTTTCCGATATTCAATTTTTGTGTTATTGACTGATACAAAGAAAAAGACCAACTTCGTTAAGGAAAAGCAATTCTCTCACACAGCAAAGTATATTATAAAATTAATAAACGAGTATAAAGTAATTCATTTTTATTAAAACATCAATTTGTTTTGGGTAAATGTGCGCTAGTTAGAATCATATATATATACACGTATATATACATAGTCGAATAACATTTGAATACCTTCGTCGGTGAGTGTCTAGCCAATCAATCTATAGCCTATAGGAACCATATATACCACAAGGTTTTATACTGAATTTATAGAATTTTGGGTAAAGGGCGCAGTGCGCATTCAAAGCCCCATCAAAGCATCAAACACCAAACTCAAATAAAACATAACAAAAATACCATAAGCAAGTGTTTTTTTGTCGCAAATAAATAAATTTACATATTTACACATAAATGAAGGAAGTTAAGCAAAAGTAATATTAAAATGAAGACTTAAATTTCTCAAAGAAATAAATATTTATACAAGAACAAGCGAAGATTAAGAACAAGCAGAAAAAAAAACGGACTTCCAACGATTTCAAAATACGACGAAATATTTTTAGAGCAAAGGCCCTGCAACAAACTATGATAACAAAAATTATGCAAATCGGTTAACAAAATATTTGCCAAATCTATGAATCAAAAACAAAAAACTTTAAACGGAATAAACGCAAACTTAATGAGAAATCCAACGGCGAGCTACAAGAATTTATACTAAAACAAGGAAAGGACGAAATAAAGGAGAAGGACAAGTGCAAAGACGGATTTAGGGGAAAAGAGTGGGGAAACGAGGTCAACGGAGATCAGCTGAAAAGTGATATTTTATAAAACCGAAAATATCAGTTAAGGACAACGACTTATAAGGTGAGTAACAATAAAACAAAAAAAATCAAGAGAATTATAATTAAATTATGGTTTATGTTTAACCTTTTTAAAAGTGTTTTCTTATTTCTAGAAATTTTAATAGAATTCTTTACAATAAATATGGCATCTAGATATCTAAATATAAATAATATGTCTTATTATCTTTTATAAAATGCGAATTTAAGTTTGCAATTCCAAAAATTCAATATTCTTCAAAAAAAAAAAAACGAAGTAAAATAGAACATTTAGCTAAAATTATATAAAAGCTCATTAAAAAAGTAATCAGCGACATTATCCAATTTCATTTGTAGCAATGGACCTAAAATAATTGAAATAGCGAAAAGTTCGAAATTCGCCATTGCAATTTGCCCCCCGCCCCTCCTCTCGTCTATCGCCATCCCACTTGCTCCAATCGCTGTTTACACTTGAGCTCTTCGACAAGCAATTTGTGCATTAATTGTGTTCGCTGATTGCATTGTTGTTTCATTGATGATGATTGCCTCGCCCCCATTTACGCCCCTCTCTCTCTCCCAATCAATCACTCTCTCACTTCGCCGCTCGCCGTTGCCATGATTGCATTCACACGGATACGAGCACACACACACACACACATACACACGCACATTCTCGGCTGGCAGGGACACAATCACATAATGGCCGGGCCGCCATTTTCCCCACTCCACACACACACACTCACACACCCATATTCTTGACGATTTCATGGCAATTTTATCGATTTTTAAATTGGCACAAATTAATCGAGAAAATCGCATTTGTGCAATCGCGATTGGCCGTCGCGTTGCAACATTGCACGTTTTTATTGACGTTTACCCATTTTTTATCAAACGAGGTGAATCAATCAGGTTTCGATTCTACATTCAAAATATACATTTAAAATATAGTATTTTAATTATTACATTTTTCACGTGACGTTAATTTGTAACTATTAATTAAAGATTGTTTTAAATTTAACGACTAAAAATTATTATTCTATTTTGTTTGAATCCGTCGTTTCTCCAAAAGATTATTTCTGGAGAGAGATATTTTGATAACTTATATCTTTGGACAAACCAAGAATAAATAAGAATAATTTTCCCAAAATAAACTAAAATTAAATATTTATATTTCTCTTTTAGATTGCAAATACGTTTATTTCATTGTGTGTACTGGACTTTAATTTTTCATATCATTTGGCATTAGGTATTCAAACAACCAGTGTTATCTAATAATATTAATTGTACATTGCATTATGAAATGATAAATCGCGGATTAAAACACGGGGTTTGGGGCTTTTATAATGACATTTATGTAACTTTTGCACAAAAAGCAAACAGCGCTGCAATTCCCCCTCCTTGTCGAGTGCAAAATCAATTATTTAAATGCAACCTTTGCCAACAGTTTCGTTGACAAAGGATATAGGAAGGCGAGGGAGTGAGGTCGAGATACTCGTACGTTTGGTATTTGCGATGACATTAAATTAAAATAAATCGGGCATTGTGATGGGCAGGGGAAGCTGGATTATATCACAAATGGCAAACTGACAGTGCATACGAGTATATTGCAGCATCCATATTTTATACGGACTCGTATATAATTGAAAATTCAGCCTCCATCTCTTTGCCGTCTGTCTATGGCATATAGCATATAGCATATAGCATATCGCATTTATTATATGTATGGGAACATGTAAATGCTGTCTGAACTTTCGACGAGTGCTGCAGTTTCGTTGCCCATCCACCCTCGACCAGATGGAACTGGCCACGAGCCACCACCGCCGGCGGTGTGGCACCACCAGCATTATCCATCCATCCACCAGCATCCGCTGCCCCACCGCCCAAAGTTCACCCACCCACCATCCATCGAGCATCTCGCAGCTGACTGACTCCAACAGACGAAATCAGCTTTGTGATAAGTTAGCCAGATTAGTTCGGCGACTCTTGATAAAACACTCCTGCCATTGTCCACAGATCGTATATACTACTTGGAATTAAAAGACACTTTGATAGGGATTTGATATGAAATGATACCAAGCTTAACAATTCAGCAAGAAGTATTACATAAATCTGGGATTCCAGGAAATTTCTGGTGCCCTAGCATCACTAAGGTTTGTCTTAAATCAGGCAATTTAATCTTCTTTACTCAACTAAAATTGAAATATAAATATTCCAAGAAAATTATATTTTTGTTTATAAATATAAAGAGATATTAAAGGGAGCTACAAATAAATTCCCAAGACTAGTTTAGAGGCTCTTGGTAAAATAATCTAAAGCGAAACGCTAAAGTAAAATACATTTTACTGAACAATAAATTAGTATTATTTCATTTAAACTATGCTTTTATTGTTAATTGTAAGAAATGTTAAACCAATTGCAGTGCACTTTAAGCAACTTATAAAATTTCTAAGCAGTTTTGACAACGTTTTCTAGCTTCTCACTCTTGAATTTGTGCCATACTTTTTAGTCGAATGCAACGTCGCAAGTAATTTTATATACACATCTGCAGGCCAACGGGTTTTCTTTCTCGTCAGAAATTGGATTCCCTCTTTGGACTCTTGTGCTTCCATAGTGAAATTCCATTCAGCGCTCACTTTTCTTGGCGAAGAATCTTGAGATGAGTTTTCGTTTTCCTTTCCCATCTGGAGCGCCCCATTCTCAGTCCGTATTCTTTTGCGGATTCTGTAAATTAAAACGCGTTGCCACGCCCACGCATAGAGCAACCCAACGCCCACCAACCACCACCCAACGCCCACTGCATTGAAGTAGAGTGAAATTCTATTAGAACTTTTGCGTCGTACAAAAACGCGTCGACGTCCAAGAAAATTAAGGCTTTCAGCGGGCGAAATTCAATTTCCAAAGAGTTATTTTCCTGTTTTCCTTCTTGTCTTCCCTTTGTGTATTTTCTTATTCTTTTCCCATTTTTCCATTGTTTTTTTTTTTTATTTAGTTTCTGTTTTCCTGCTTGCGATTTTCCTTGAGCTCCTTTAGGGCTTACTGCTGGGTTCTTTTGTCAATTAAATTTGTATGCAATTCCCGGACAAGCGAAATTGCATTTTGTCCGCGGAGAAATGCTTTTCCGAATCCAATTGCCTCTCATTAGTTGTCCTTTCCATATATATTCCCCTTTTGTCAGCAGTTGAATGGAAATTTTCATTGACTGATTGAAGTTGCCTAATTTTCAATGGTATTTTCAAAGAGAAGGCGTAATTACGTTGTGTTTATTATTTGATCGGGCAACGCGGCGTTTGAGCAATATCTCCCATTCAATTTCATAGGTCATTTGACCGATTCGAACGTTGAGGAAAATTAAAGGAAAAGGTAAAAAAACTTTGGCTAAAATGGCTAGCTATTTCGGATATTGCATTTTGGCAAATTGGAGGCTTCCCTTTGAAGTTTCGAGCCGGAAACGGCAATCGACAATCGCCAGCGGAAGCAAAATCAATACGACGCATGCGCTGCGTTTTCATTGCTTCTCCACTCCCACTCGTTTTTTTTTGTATTCGCAGCGGGGAAAAAGCAGCGGGAAATTGCCAGGAAAAGTCGGAGAAAAGCGAAATGCAGCTGTGGTAAATGGCACAGATTACACACAGCTGGAAGGCACATGCAGGCGGAAAACTTTACGGAAAATGATTAATTTTCGCGGACATATTGCATGGGAAAGGGACTGAAATCAATTTCCGCAACTTGCTCATATGTGGCTCCTGTGGCTTCGAAGCCTTTTGTTAAAGTAAACAGGTTTTCCCTTACCCTGATTAAATAGTTTTTCTTCCTTACAATTTACTTGGGCGTGATTCATTATTTTGTTTAGGGAAAGACAATAATATATCGTTTTGATTTAAGAATGAATACAAATAATTATTAACTATCTTTTAAAGTCCTTATGTGTTGTTATTTTTCATTAGTAAAATTTTATTGTAAGCCTGACAATGTACATTTAAAATGTGTTTTCTCTGAAGTTTTATAAGTAAATTCATTCATTTATAAAAGGACCCTCTCTTAAACCCAAAAGCACTCTAACAACTAAAGTGCTTACTTCTGTATTGCTTTACCTATTCAAAGGCATTATCCTCGAAAAAGGAAAACTAAACTAATCCTCGGTTGACATAAAACATGAGGGATTTCCACATCACTGAAAAGCGGAGGCTGCAAATGAAATTGAGAAGTTTCTGCTAAATTCCCCGCCCATAAAAGTATGCAAGGGATAAAAGTTTATTTGCCAGCCGCTTTTGCTTTTCTTTAATTAATGCAATTGAAGTGCACTTCGGAAAAGCGTGGTTTCCACCACCGAACCACCGAACCACCGTCACCAACACAGCAACCACCGCGAAAAAAACACCGCTGGGCAGTAAATACACAGAAAAAAACGTTGTACACCATACACAATGTGTTGATATGCTATTTCCATTTGTAACCTGTTAATATAAAAATCGTACATAAATTTGACTGACTATTTTTGAAACAATTTAATAATACTTTGGGGTTGGTGTTAGATTTGTTCTAATTTTTATATGTGCAGCTGTTGGCTAGCTGAAAAGCAGAGTGCAGTGAACCACCACCAAATAGCCGAAAAAAGTTGCTAAAAAACAAGCCGACCACATGGAAATCCATAAACAAATATTTCAATCGCCGCTAAGCTTCGGCCAGACGCTTTTGACGATGAGCTACACTAAAACCTTGTTTATGAAGATAATGTTAAATTTTTAAATTGTTTGATAGGAACTGCGGTAATGAAAGCCTTAAATTACTGGAAAAACTGAATAGCTTCAAGATACATATCTTAGCTTTCCCCAAAATATTAATTGGTATCAAATTAGAAGATTTGACAATATTTGATATGATCCTCCTATTTCAAAAAATTTCAAAAGAAAAGCTAATGAAGAAAATCAATTTTTTTCGAGTGTAAAGCTGCCGGAATATCATTATTCAGGTAGAGCATTTTCTTGGCCGATGCCGCCTCCGATTTTGCGATGCCGTTTGGGAGCATCAAATATTCACAAACTGACA